TTCCTTTGGTATACCTCACGTGGCTAACAATGATTGTACGGTTTGTGGTTTTACTAATCTTGAATGATGTATGACAATTCTCACCTTTTTTTTTCTTTTGTTACTTCTAGTGGTGGTTCGCGATTATTTTATTCCCAAAGGTACTGTATTGGTTAGCAACATGTTCGGTATGCATATGAATCCCGATATCTATTCTGATCCAGAAATATTCAAGCCTGAACGCTTTTTGAACAACACTCGAACGATGTCATCTTCGGCAAACGGCAATATCAATCAACGTGATCATTTCATCTTCGGATGGGGAAGGTAAAAAAAAAAAAAAAATTGAAGCTAAACGTGATCGATGATGACATGGGAACATTTCCTACTCGTTACTCATGCTTTGTATTCCTCTGTGTACTCTTGTATTGGTTGAACTTAGACGCATTTGTCCTGGAATATATCTGGTAAGGAGAAAATATAGCAGTTTAACCGATGATTGCAGAAACTCTAGTGTCTAACAAAGGGTAGTGTTCATAGGCAGAGGTAGAGATGTACCATATCTTTATTCGCATCTTCGCAAATGCAAGTATTGCGGCCCCGTTGGATGGTGACGGCAAGGAAGTAGCTATTGGTATGGATGCAATTTTGGATACTGGTATTTTCTATTTACCCCAACCGTATCAGGTGCGATTTATCTCTCGTAGTGCTTCCCCTTTGGAGTAGATAGACTTCTTATTTAAATTGAAATGGAATAAAAGTATCACTTCCTATTTGGTTTTGTGTTATATTTTATATTGGTAACAAAATGTGTGTGTATCTGCAGGTTGAATTGAGAGAGGAACGCATGGATGGTATCTATGATAGTGATATGATAGTGATGTCGTTACTCTACATAAAGGTACTGAATTAAGATGTGGTATTTTGTCACATCAAATACAAAAGCACAAATGAACGACGAAGATGGATAATTAGTACAGAAGATATTCATACTAAAAACAGCATGGTAACAATCAAATAACAATCCTGATGAAAGAATTTACATCTTTTCCCATTGTAATTTTTTTTTAATTCTTCCCAAATGATGTCTAACTCTATAACTTGGTATCGTACCCGGGTATACGACACCATAGATAAAACTTTACTCCCAATTAGGTTGGCACATAAAAAAAAAAAAAAAAAGGAAGGATGATCCCCAGTTGGTATGATCATAAAATGACTAATTGCTTTATTAACTGTTCATCACCTTCCCAAAGCAATACTGTTATACTACCAGTAAGACGGGATGTCGGTATGATAATGAAGAACTGAAGCAACATGAATAACAGCACAAATAAACGGCAAAATCAAGGTTGATGGTACACATGATAACATATATTCGGTAAGAGGCTTGGTTAGTCTTTATCTATTTATTCATTTTTTTTTATTAATCTCCTTTTCTTTCATCGGTTCATCCAGCTTGATTGATACGACATGATTGATTTTACATCGATAGCGACAACACCCGCAAAAGCGGCTCAAGGCGAAAAACGACAGATCATCTTGGCCATAGCTGCTATCATTTCAGCCAGTATTGGGTTGCATTGTTTGTTTTTCTCAAAGAAAGAGCTGATTCATAAGCAACGTTTCAAAGAGGTCCCCACTCCTAGGCAACAATGGCCCATCGTAGGTCAGTAGATGAGGAAATGGTGGTGGTGCCTGAGAGAGCGCGGATATTGAAATCACCGAATTCACCAAATTGAACACTCACTATTTTTTGTTTCTTTTCTTTCTTTTTTTTTTTTTTCTTTCTTTTCTTTCTTTCTTTCTTTCTTTCTTTCTTTCTTTCTTTCTACAGGACATCTTCTTTCTCTTGGCCGACTTCCTGGATATACTCTAGCAAAATGGAGCAAAGAACTTGGTAAGTGACTTTTAATAACAGAATTTGAATTACCTGTCATGTTAATAGCCTTGCATTATTTTTTTTTTTTTCTTTCTCTCGATCAGGGCCTATCATTCGGCTGAAAATGGGAGTTCAAACTTGGTTCTTCATATCTGATCCTGCGCTTGCTCAAGAAATCTTCACGACTCATGGTGTTGCAACTTCTGACAGACCTTCACAAACATTCCTTACATATTATAGCCATGGTAAAAGGTAAAATGAGCTTGTTGCTGTAGCAGTTTGGCAGTTATTTAATGATAGGTTTTGACCACTACTTCTTTGTTCTGACATCAATTTTTTTTATCTAATTGTTAGGGGAATTATTTGTTCTGATGCAAACAAACGATGGAAACGATCAAGAGCTGCTGCTTCATTCATCCTAGCACCACAGCGCGTCAATGAATTTATGGACATTATTATGCACGAAGCTGATATCCTGGTGAAACAACTTCTCCTTCTTTGTCAACTTGATAGTCAGGTGGATCCTACTCCTTATTTACAGAAAGCTTTCATGAATTTTATTTTAACAGCGTGCTTTGCGACTCGTTTCAACTCTGTGGAAAACCAACACTTCAAGGTACTGTTAAGTAAATCTTCCATCATCGCTTGTTTACTCATCCTCACTCTTCATCTCCCTTTATATATAAGGATATCAGGGAAAATACTCTTGTAGCCTTGAAATTGGCTGGAGCTAACGGTGACCTTTATCAGTTTTTGCCCTATATCTCTGCATTGGATGTACTTCTAGGAAAGAAACGAATGTATCGTGACCATATTGCGAATTTCAGTGATCCTCTCTTTACTCAGTTGATTGAAAAAGCCTTGTGCAGTGACAAAGACCCAATGGTGAAGACATTAGTGGCTCTCAAGAAAGAAAATGGTTTGGATGACGAAGATATCATTGTGATAACGTGTAAGATGAACATTGCATTAAAGCTATACCGGAGCTGGATCATCAAAAGATTCTCATCTCTCTCTTTTTTTTTTTATATAGCCGACCTTTTTGGTGCCGGTACTGATACTAGTACTGCTACATTTTCTTGGATGATCGTCATTCTATCCCATCATCACGATGTTCAGAAAAAGATACAATTGGAACTCGATGCCTTTATTCAAACACATGGTCGTCTCCCTACCTTTGAAGAGCGAGATCAAATTCCGTATATTATTGCCGTGCAAAAGGAATGCATGCGTTACAAGCCCACCACTTCCTTTGGTATACCTCACGTGGCTAATAATGATTGTACGGTTTGTGGTTTTACTAATCTTGAATGATGGATGACAATTCTCACCTTTTTTTTTTCTTTTCTTACTTCTAGTGGTGGTTCGCGATTATTTTATTCCCAAAGGCTCTGTGTTGGTTAGCAATATGTTCGGTATGCATATGAATTCCGATATCTATTCTGATCCAGAAATATTCAAGCCTGAACGCTTTTTGAACAACATTCGAACAATGTCATCTGCGGCAAATGGCAATATCAATCAACGTGATCATTTCAACTTCGGATGGGGAAGGTAAGCAAGAAAGAAAAAAAGTGTAAGAGGGATGATGCATGGAAATAGGAAGAACATTTTGTACTTACCACTAATGTTTTCTTTCTCAATGTATATTTGGATTGATTGACTTTAGACGCACTTGTCCTGGTATTTATTTGGTAAGAATAAAAAGAATGACAACAAAACGTCATTGGTGGACATAACGTCCTACCGCATGAAAACCAATCACTAATACCTGATACCTGATACTATTCTATAGGCAGAAGCAGAGATGTTCCATATCTTTATTCGGATCTTCGCAAACGCAAGTATTGCACCTCCTTTGGATGATGATGGAAAGGAAGTACCTATTGACATGGAAGTAGGGTTAGATACTGGAGTTGTCAATTTACCTCACCCTTATCAAGTTAGATTTATCCCTCGTACTGAATTCCCTTTAGAATAGATCTTATTATTCGGTTTATATGAAATAAAGGACTCCTTCTTTTTGTCTTTATATCTCACACTTTATATTGTTGATAAGACGTGTACATCTACATGTGTGTTTGCTGATTGAACTGAAGGAAGCGTGTATTGATAATATCTATGATAATGATGTCGTTTGTCTGCATAAAGGCACTGAATTGAGAGCTAGTACGCCGTCGCATCCGGTACAAGAACACAAATGAACGAAGATGATGGATAGTCAAGATATGAAGTTCATACCTTGCGTGACAACAAATCCTGATGAAACAGGTCAGTTCTTTCCCATTGTAGAATTTTTAAAAAAATCTTGCCTAATTATGCATAACTCCATAACTTGATATCATTCCCAGGCATTCAATTCGACAGATAAAACTTGAATCGCAATTTGATTGACACGAAAAAAAAAAAAAGATGATCTCCAGCTGATATGATCATCAAATGACCAATTGCTTTATTAACCACACATCATCCTCCCAAAGCAGTACTATTATACTGTCAGCAAGATGGTATGCATGTATGATAGTGAAGAACCGAAGCGATACGGATAAAAGGAAAAATAAACGGCAACCTGATGGTACGCACAGCAATATGTGTTCAGAAGGAAACATTATTTAGTTCTCTTATTTTCTCTCTTTTTTTTTCCATCTCATTTTCCTTCCATCGATCCATCCAAATTGATTGATACAACATGATTGATTTTGCAACGGTAATAGCCACATCCGCAAATGCAATTCCTAGGGAAAAACGACAAATCATCCTGGCCATTACTACTATCTTGGCAACACGTATTGTGTCGCATTATTTATCCTCAAAAAAAGAGATGATTAACAAGCAACGCTTCAAAGTGATCCCTAGTCCTAGACCACGATGGCCCCTCGTAGGTCAGTATGGGGAAAAAAGGCTGCCTTGAGTACCAGCGGATACTGAAATCAACAGGTTTACCACATTAAAACATTTTTTTTTTTTTTTTTTTTTTTTTTTGCTAGGGCATCTTCTTTCTCTTGGTCAACGTCCTGGATATACAGTGGCAAAATGGAACAAAGAACTCGGCAAGTGATTTTACTAATGGACTCTAATGATAGACATATGTACTAATACTCCTGTATTACTGTTTCTCTCCTCCTCTCTCTCCTTTTAGGGCCTATCATACAACTGAAAATGGGTGTGCAAACTTGGATCTTCATATCCGATCCTGTACTTGCTCAAGAAATCTTTATGACTCATGGTGTTGCAACGTCGGACAGACTTTCTCATAGGTTCTTTAACTACTACAGTCACGGTGGAAGGTAAAAATGTTTACTATTGTAACATTTTTTTGGCGGAGACACTAAGCTCTTCAGCGATTCTAACCTGTACTTTTTCTTCTCATCTACCCGTTAGAGGGATTATTTGTTCAAACGCTGGCAAAGGATGGCAACGGGCAAGAACTGCTGCTTTATCTATCCTGGCACCGCAACGTGTCAATGAATTTACCGATGTTCTTCTGTATGAAGCCGATATCCTAGTGGAACAACTTCTTTCTCGTAGTCAACTTTATGGTCAAGTGGATCCCAGCACCTATTTACAAAATGCTGCTATGAATGTAATCTTAACAACTTGTTTTGCTACTCGTATCAACTCCCCGGAAAGTCAGCTATTTAAGGTATGATGTTAAACTGAACTTATTATCAATTACGCTCGTTTTACTCACCCTTAGTCTTTCGTTTCTCTTTTTTCTTTTTTTATCAAGGATATCATGGAGCATATGCATGGAGGCTTGAAGATGGTTGGAATCGAAAATGACCTCGGTCAGTTTCTGCCTATTATGTCTGCATTGGATGTGATCCTGGGGAAGGAAAAAGTGTATAGTGACTATGTTGGCAAGTGCCGTGATCCCCTACTCGTTAGGTTGATTGAAGAAGCTCTATCAAGTGGCAAAGATTCAATGATGAAGACATTGGTAGCTCTCAAAGAAGAATATGGCTTGAATGACAAGGATATCATAGTGATTATGTGTAAGCTGACCTTGACATTCAATGTACAATTTGCTTAGATGATCAGAAGGTCTCATTTCTTTTTTTTTTTTTTTTTTTTTTTTAGCTGATCTTCTTGGTGGTGGCACAGATACTAGTTTTGTCACAATGTCTTGGATGATCGTCATTCTTTCCCATTACGATGATGTTCAAAAGAAGATACAGGCAGAACTTGACACTTTTATTCGAGCACATGGGCGTCTTCCTGTCTTCGAAGAACGAGATCAAATCCCTTATACCATTGCTGTCCAAAAGGAGTGCATTCGTTACAAGTCGGTCAATTCCTTTGCTATGCCTCATATGGCCAGTCGTGACTGTATGGTTTGTAGCTTTACTTGTCTTTGATAGTACATGATAAATCTCACCTTTTTTTTTCTCATTTTATAGTGATGGTTCGCGATTATTTCATTGCCAAAGGTACTGTATTGGTTGCCAACACGATTGGTATGCACATGAATCCTGACGTATATCCTGATCCAGAAACATTCAAACCTGAACGCTTTTTGAACAACACTCGAACAATGACATCTTCGGCAAATGGCGATGTCAATCAACGTGATCATTTCATATTTGGTTGGGGAAGGTAAAATGAATACATATAAAGAAATGGTTCATGATGGTCGGAAATACCGTCATACTCATCAGTGACTATCCTTTCTTTCTTTGTGTGATTATATTGACTGAAAATAGACGTGTTTGCCCTGGTATTTATTTGGTAGGAAGAACAAAAGAGCTGATGAATGGAGGAAGTTAAGATACAAAAAGAAATAGAGCACTAACGTCTAATGTTGTTTTATAGGCTGAGGTAGAGATGTTCCATATCTTTGTTCGGATCTTCGCAAACGCAAGTATTGCACCTCCTTTGGATGTCGACGGCAAGGAAGTACCTATTGATATGGATACAGTTTTGGATACCGGTCTTTTGATTATGCCCCAACCTTATCAGGTTCGATTTATCCCTCGTGTTGATTCCCCGTTGAGATAGTTAGTCGTATTATTCAATTCAAATGAAATAAAAGTCTTTTCCTATTTGTTTTTATGTTATATTTTATTGTTGATACATGTATGTAGATATATCTATGTATGGTTGCTAGGTTAGCTGATGGAGATAATTTAATTCTATCCAATTCTTTTTTTTTTTTTGACTTACCTAAGGATGCTTGACTACTTCCATGAGTTCACCTGCAAACATGCGATTCTAAGGATGCGACTGACCGTCAAATTTGGTGTGAACCAGAAAGAAAACAGGATGATCTCTAACTAACATGATTAGAAAATGACCAATTATTTTACTAACCGGCCATCATAGTCACGAATCAAGAACACTACATTATCTAGTAGATAAGGGACCTCCATGATGAAAAAAAAAAAAAAGATAAATCAACAAGATCATAAAAAAGAACAGTCGGCAAATTCATGGTTGAAGGAACACATGACAGCATACTCAGAAGAAATAAACGGGAATGATGGTTTAGGCTTTATTTCTCTCTTTATTTTGTTTATCTCGCTTTTTTACATCGGTTCATCCAATTTGATTGATAAAACATGATTGATTTTACAATGGTAGTAACTACGCATGCAAAAGCGACTCTGGGCGAAAAACGACGAATCATCCTGGCTATTACTACTATCTTGGCAACGCGTATTGTGTTGCATTATTTATCCCCAAAAAAAGAGATGATTTGCAAGCAACGTTTCAAAGAGATCCCTAGTCCAAGACCACAATGGCCCATCGTAGGTTAGTTACAAAGGAAAAGGGATGATGCATGACCAGGTGCGGATATTGAATTTATTTCATCCACATAAAAGCTCACTTAAAAATTTTAGGGCATCTTCTTTCTCTTGGCCAACTTCCAAAGTATATGGTGTCAAAATGGAACAAAGAACTTGGCAAGTGGTTTTTTACTAATGGACTTGAATGACAAGCATCGTATTAATGATTTTATTTTATTTTTTTTTCTTTCTCTCCTTCTTTCTCTCTTTAGGGCCTATCGTACAATTGAAAATGGGTGTACAAACTTGGTTCGTGATATCTGATCCAATTCTTGCTCAAGAAATTTTCATGACTCATGGTACTGCAACATCTGACCGACCTACTTACACGTATTTTACCTACTACAGTCATGATGGAAGGTAATGTTTTTCTTTTTTTTATTATTTACTTGACCGAGATATTGTATTGAATATTTCTTGCTAACAATGATTCTTTTTTTTTTCTTCTTCTTCTTCTGTCATTTACCTAATAAGGGGCGTTATTTGCTCAAATGCTGACAAACGGTGGAAACGAACAAGAGCTGCTTTATTATCTATTTTGGCACCACAACGCGTCAATCAATTTACTGATGTTCTTTTGTATGAAGCCGATGCTCTAGTGGAACAACTGATATCTCGTACGGAACTATTTGGTCAAATGGATCCTAGTCCTTGTTTACAAAATGCTGGTATGAATGTGATCTTGACAACCTGCTTCGCCACTCGTATCAACTCTGCAGATGATCAGCTATTCAAGGTATTATTACTATTATCTTAAACTATGTCCTAACCTTTGTTTACGCTTTTTTACTCATCATCACTCTTATATTTCAATTTTTTTCTTTTTATGAAGGATATTATGGCATATGTGCATGCAAGCATGAAAATGGCTGGACCTGAAGGTGATCTCTGTCAATTTTTCCCTATTATGTCAGTATTGGATATACTTGTGGGGAAGAAACGGAAGTACAGTAATTTTATTGCTAAGGTCCGTGATCCTCTTTTCACCCGATTGATTGATGAAGCTGCTTCAAGTGACAAGGACTCGATGATCAAATCTTTTCTGGCTCTCAAGGAAGAATATGGTTTGGATGACAAGGATATCATTGTAACTATGTGTAAGATGGATATTCCACTTATCTTTCTTGATGATTCTAGGGTTCTCACTTTCTTTTCCTTTTTCTTTTTTTTTTTTTATATATAGCTGACCTTCTTGGTGCTGGAGCTGATACTGCTGCTGCCACGTTGTCATGGATGATCGTCATTTTATCCCATCATCATGATGTTCAAGAGAAAATACAAGCAGAACTCGATGCCTTTATCCGAAAACATAATCGTCTCTCTACTTTTGAAGAGCGAGATCAAATCCCTTACACCATTGCTGTACAAAAGGAATGCATCCGTTACAAGTCCATCGGCTTCTTTGGCTTTCCTCATATGGCAAGTAGAGATGGTATGCTTTGTAGTTACATTTACTGAACAAGAAATAACTGTATTACCTACTGATCTTATTTTATTTATAGTGGCGGTTCGTGATTATTTTATTCCCAAAGGTACTATATTGTTAGGCAATGTCAATGGCATGCATATGAATCCTAAGGTTTACTCCGATCCAGAAACATTCAAACCTGAACGCTTTTTGAATAACACTCGAACAATGTCATCTTCGGCAAATGGCAATATCAATCAACGTGATCATTTCGTATTTGGATGGGGAAGGTAAAAAAAAAAAAAAAAAAAAAAAAAAAAAAAAAAAAAAAAAAAGAGAGAGAGGGAGAGAGAGAGAAACGTATATTTTAGACAATGATTGATGGTGATATGGAAACATTTCATACTCATTACTTACGTTTTGATTTTCTCTGTGTGCTCTTGCATTGATTGAACTCAGACGTCTTTGTCCTGGAATTCATTTGGTAAGAAGAACAAAAGACCTGATAGATGCAGAAAATTTAGTATGGAAAGGAAATAGGACGCTAATACCTGATATTATTTTATAGGCAGAAGTAGAAATGTTTCATATCTTTGTTCGAATTCTCGCAAACTCAACTATCGCAGCTCCTTTGAATGATGATGGCAAGGAAGTAGCTGTTGATATGGATATAACGGTGAATATCGGCCCTCTGATTTTGCCTCAACCTTATCAAGTTCGATTTATCCCCCGCACTGATTCCCCTTTAAAATAGATAGTTTTATCATTCAAATTCAAATGAAATAAAGAATCCACTTCCTATTTGTATTTGTGTGTTACATTTTATTTTTTTGATATGCGTTCGCTTAATGATACTACTTTAAGAGTCATTGCATAAGAAATCAAGTGAAGGGTAATGGATGATGGGATGATGGGATGATGGATGACGAAGGATGACGATGATGGTGTCAATTTAATATTTGTCGTTGGAGGAAGAATTTGCCAGTTCAATTGTCCTATTATTGAAAAAAAAAGTCCCATCAAAACTATGTAATAGAGTGGAGATCAAACGGTCTCCTTTCAGTTGAACAGACAAAGAATGACGCCAAATTGCCGTGAATGGAAAAACAAACAGAACACGACACTAAATCGTACGGAATTGATCATGCATAGATCATCATCATCTTTCCAATCAATCATGCCAAGTAACATCATCAGATGAATAAAATATCAACAAAGCACAAAAGAGGAATGACCGATAAATTTAAAGTTGGTGTAACGTATGACAACGAATATTTAGAGTGAGAAATTACAGTACTTTGATCTTTCTTTCCTTCTTCCTTTTATTCTTTTTTTTTTTTTCCTCTTTCTTTCCACCTATTTTCTTTTTATCCATCCGCCCATCAAGGTCGAACAAAATATGATTGATTTTACAAAAATAACAAATACATCTGCGACTGCAAGTCTATCTGAAAAAAGACAAATCATCTTGGCTGCCGCCGCCGTTGTAGCAACTAGTCTTGGTGTACTTTACTTGTCTTCTTCAAAGAAGGCTGTAGATACACGTCGTGGATACAGAGAAATACCTACTCCTGGATCGCAATGGCCTGTTTTCGGTAAGCGGTGACAACTCAAAAAAAAAAAACGAGTCTGTGCAACACGGAAATTGAAATTATGCTCCTTCGACTTCGACTTTTTTATAGGACATCTTCTTTCTCTTGGAAAACTTCCTGGAAATACCGCGGCAAAATGGAGCAAAGAACTTGGTAAATGACTTTATTAAGAGAAGACATTAATACTATTATCTTTTTTCTAAACTTTTATTCTTATCCATTAGGCTCTATTTTTCAATTAAAAATGGGTGTACAAACTTGGATCATGTTATCCGATCCTGTTCTTGCTCAAGAGATCTTCATGACTCATGGTATTGCGGCATCTGATCGACCTCCTCATACATTCCATACTTATTACAGTCTTGGTGGAAGGTAAGTACGTTTTAACAGTTATATGACTAATCTTTTGAAGCTACACCTTTGTTCTCACTTTTTTTTTTCTTATCTCTTATTAGAGGTGTTGCGTGCTCAAATGCTGATAAACGGTGGAAGCGAGCGAGAACTGCTGCTTTATCTGTTCTAGCATCACAACGTGTTAATCAATTTACAGATGTCCTCTTGTATGAAGCCGATACCGTGGTGGAACGACTTCTCTCTCAAAGTCAACTTGATGGTCAGGTAGATCCTGCTCCCTATTTACAAAACGCTGCTATGAATTTTATTTTGACAACCTGTTTTGCAACTCGTATCGACTCTGTGGAGGATCAGCAATTTAAGGTATTATATCAGTTAAACTGACTTTTATGCTCGTAATCATTTGATCACTCTTTCATTTACCTCTTTTTTTTTTTTTTTTTTTTTTTTTTTCTTTGTCAAGGATATCATGTCATACATACATGCGGCAATGAAAATGGCTGGTGCTGAAGGGGATCTTGGTCAATTTGTGCCTATTGTATCTGCAATGGATGTACTTGTGGGCAAGAAACGAGAATACAATGATTTTATTACCAATGTACGTAATCCACTTTTTACTCGATTGATTGATGAAGCTACTTCAAGTGACAAAGACTCAATGGTCAAGACTTTCTTGGCTCTCAAAGAAGAACAAGGTTTGGATGACAGTGATATCCTTGTGATTTTATGTAAGCTGAACATGATATTTAGTTTATAACCTAGCCGAATGATCAATATATCCTCATTCTTTCTTTTTATTTATTTATTTGTTATTATTCACAGCTGATCTTCTTGGTGGTGGTACTGATACTAGCTCCGTTTCATTATCTTGGATGATCGTCATTTTATCCCATCATCATGATGTTCAAAAGAAAATACAAGCAGAACTCGATGCCTTTATTCAAACCCATGGACGCCTCCCTACCTTTGAAGAACGAGAACAAATCCCTTACACCATTGCTGTACAAAAGGAATGTCTGCGTTACAGATCCACCACTCCTTTTGGTGTACCCCACATATCTAATCATGACTGTACGGTTTGTAGTTTTACTTGTCTTGAATGATACACGGTGAATCTCACTTTTTTTTCTTTCCCTTATTTATAGTGGTGGTTCGTGATTATTTTTTCCCCAAAGGCACTGTATTGGTGAGCAACATGATTGGCATGCATATGAATCCTGACGTCTACCCTGATCCAGAAACTTTCAAGCCTGAACGCTTTTTGAACAACACTCGAACAATGTCATCTTCGGCAAATGGCAATGTCAATCAACGTGACCTTTTCATCTTCGGCTGGGGAAGGTAAAAAAAAAAAAAAAGATATAAGAAAGAAGGTTCAGTAAATAAGGCAATATACCATACTTACTATTCCTGTTTCCATTTTCTCTTTCTATTTATTGAATTTAGACGTATTTGCCCTGGTATTTATTTGGTAAGAAAGAAAAGTGCAACAGAAGAACCGATGAATGGAGGAAGTTAAGATACAAAAAAGAAATAGAGCACTAACGTCTGATATTATTCTATAGGCAGAGGTAGAGATGTTCCATATCTTCGTTCGGATCTTCGCAAACGCAAGTATTGCACCTCCTTTGGATGGTGATGGTAAAGAAGTACCTATTGATATGGATGCTGCTTTGGATGCTGGTCTTGTGACTTTACCCCAACCTTATCAAGTTAGATTTATTCCTCGTGTTGATTCCCCTTTGAAATAGAGTCTTATTATTCAATTCATATATGAAATAAAAAATCGATCCTTTTTATTACCCTATATTACATATTATATTGTTAGTGCATTCTTCTGAACAATTAACTTATGAGTGGATTTTATTAATACGATCCAATCATTCATAATCATGCTCTTGATTTGAATCATTCAAACATCATCATCAATGAATCATCCACTTGTTGAAGGCAACATTGCATATGATATCATTTATCATCATGGAAAAAAAAATTCAGTGCACCTGTTTCCATATGTATCTGACATATATATGTAGATATTTTCATGATTTCTGTTATTTTATCAGTAATATCTGGCTATCTGCTCTACACTGAAATATATGACTGAAAAGCAGAAGACATTTCGTATCGTTATGCCTTGTATCATATTATCTTCAAATGATTAAACCTTATTGCCTCGTTTATGTCATATCTGGGAAATCTTAATCATGTTTTTGGAAATATCACGTTGTAATAGCTAATGAGGCTCGTTCCATCTTGCTCAACATTTTATCTTTCCAGTTCATCAAAAAAAAAAAAAAAAAGATATATCACTTCTGTAGATAGAATGAACGACGTTTTATTTATTAAGTGTGAAGGCTGGAGAATACATAGAATAAAAAAAAAAATACGCCCAATCAGTCAATATAAAAAGAATAAAGATAATAAAATAATAATAACAATAATAATTATAACAATAATAACAGTAATAGTAATAAATAGGGATGAGTATATATACAATCAAAATGAGAGTGAGAGGCATAATACAATGGAAAAAAAAATTAAAATGGATCTGGCCCAAGCGTTGTTGTTGTCGATTTATCTTTGTCAGTGGGTAGAGAAGGTTGAATAGTTTCTTTTGAAGATTTTTCCTCTTGTTGTTCCAAATGTCGTCGATTGTGTAATATCAGTTCGCGTTCTCGAATAATATCATTATCGTAAGGGCGATATTGATGTCCATAATATTTTGCACAAGTACGAGGAATAAAGCAGGTAACCACGGTCAATAAAAGTACAAGCCAATATAATCCCGTCCCATATAATTTGACCTGTCCACGGAAATTGAAGCTGATGAATTGTGAGTAAACAGCTGTAAACAGATAGTAGACTGCAATGGAGAGAGAGATGATCAAGAGTTGAATCCAAGTATAACTGTACAGAGAGAAAGCCACAAATAAGTTGGCAACAATCACCGCATAACTGGCAATGATGGTACCTATTTCATATGTGCCATTTTGATCATATCCAGATGGGTCAACAGCACCAGCTACAAGAAGCATGTAAGGGAAGAAGAAGCACACTGAAGATTGGAATATCGAATCTATCACATTCATCCAGAATCGAACGGTCTTAAATTTGTCGTCTCTCAATCCCATACGATATAATTCCGGATATAACAATGAAGTGGAAGCATTCAGATCCTGATCCCAAATGCCAAGGAATATAATCGGAAGTGAAGTGAAGATCAAGTTGTAGAGTGTCACCAAAGCATAATCAAACATCATTGTTCCAGTAAATCTATTTCAAAAAAAAAAAAAAAAAAAAAAAAAGGTTACCTTCCATCCACCTTAAATAATATTATATATATATATATATATAGATAGATATATAAACTTACTGACAAAAGATTTGATACCAAAGTAAAACAAAAGTCCAAATGATATTTTTGAAGAAAAATCCCATGATCATTTCAGCCGTACGCAAGTAAGACCACCGGCCATGGACAAGAAGCAGTTTTTGAAGATACCGAAATTGAGCAATGGCATAATCAGAGGACATAACTGCTTGTCGACCTTCTACACCAGAGATACCAACACCAACATTTGCTTCTTGAATCATCGAAACATCATTAGCTCCATCACCGATTGCTAATGTCATCACATCTAATCCACGTTTGACCAAAGTCACCACTTGAGCCTTTTGCTTAGGACTTACACGACAACAGATCACACTAGCGCATTGCATGCCGAGGCGTAGGAGATAATACTTGTTTTTGGGTTCCAAAGCATATTTGAGAGTCGTTCCGTCAATTACCAATGCTCGTTTGACGCTTTGTCCTTGTTGTACCCTTTGATGATGAGGACGTTGTTGATCATTCTCTTCTTCTTCTTCTTCTTGTTGTTGTTGTTGTTGTTGGTTATGTTGATATTTCCTTGGTTGAGAGGATCGACGACGAGCCTTTCTATCTTGACCAAAAAGTTTGCAATCACCACTACTACCAGTACCACCAACATCATTGTCATTGTTTGTATCATCACCAATTTCTCTGTCGATTTGATCCAAGACTTCTTTCATACGTTCCAATGTTCCTTCGCGTGTACTTGACTTGACAATCAGGAGTTCCATATCGGTAGTGATCAAATTACATGCATATCCAATATTGATGGCTGTTTCTGTCTTGTCACCTGTAAGCACCCAAAGTTTGATTCCAGATTGAGCTAACAATGCAATAGTTTCAGGTACACCTTCTTGTAGTCGATCTTCAATCGCTGTTCCACCCATCAACAGTAGATCACTTTCAATTTCTTCACATACTTCATCAACCTTTTCATCACGACCATAGATACTTGAGCTGGCTGACATAAATCGTTTATTCCATTCCTCGTATTCATTTGCCGCGATAAATCGATAAGCTAAACAGAGAGTCCGTAATCCTTCAGTAGCAAATCCTTCCAAATGAGTTGATGTATCATCGCGTATATTTTGTTGCTTTGATTCAAGATCATGTTGAGTACCAAAATTGGTACATAATCGTTCGTAAATGACCGAGTCTGCACCTTTGGACAGTAACACAATCCTGTTGCTTCCATCCCTTGGTCGAATAATCACACTCATTCGTTTGCGTGTCGAATTGAATTCCAAAACGTTTAATAGGTCAAAAGTCTTGATTTCACCCATAATATTCACCGAGAGAAGATCAGCCTCCCTTCCAAGAAATGTAAACCCAATATCACGAGCTGTTGACACAAGTGCTGCTTCATCTGGACTTTGTGCTTTGTATTCAATGGTACTGCTGCTATCTTGATTCTTATCGGATCGTTCGGCAATGGCAGTGTGACAGAGTGCCAAAGTCGAGAAAAAATGAATGATGGAAGATCGATGATCGTTGTCCTTGCTAAGATCTTGGAATATCTTTGGATCAATAAATGTCGGATTGTTGCCAACATAGGGATTTTTGAAGAGTTTGGCCTGCAAATCGTACATTTGTTTTTTGTATTCCTCCATTTCTTCGACGGTTGTTGTTTTTTCCACTATTGATCCATTGATATCGTTTTCTTGATGTCCACTGTCTCGTTTATAAGAGCCATATGTTGCTTCAGTTTCGCCTAACCCATATTCGATACCACCAATAGTACATTTGCGATACTCCATCACATTCTGTGTCAATGTTCCCGTCTTGTCGGAAAAGACGTATTCGATCTGTCCCAAATCATCAGATATATTCCATGTACGAGGAAGGCAAGCTGTATCAGTTTGTTCATGGTACATATCAATATCAGCATGAATAAAATATGCCTAGAAATGGAAATAATAAGATATGATGAGATATACGGTTATATGTCAGCCGCTTTAATAATTTCAACTTACGGCAAAAGTCTTGACAATTTCTACAGATATATACAATGAGATAGGTACAATATTTTGATACAAGATAAGAGCTACCCAAAATGTGACAAAACCAAGCCAAGACGCATTCGGACCTTGGATACCGAAATCAAAAGAACGAGAAGATCCACCTTGTTTAAAAAACACACTTGATAAAATTGCAGTGACCAGACAAAGAATGGCAAGAATGACAAAGTTTGCAATTACCTAGAAAAAGATATATAAAATGAATTCTTCCTTTTTTTTTTTTTTTTTTTTTTTTTTTTTATCTAGATGTCCACTTACATGAGGATTTGTTTTCCTAGCTAATCGACTGCGTTTGGATGGAGTACGTCCAGTATTCAACATAATCTTGGTATCATTCCCAGTATATACGACCATACCAATAATCCAACCAGTATTTCTGAGGACACATCCACGAAGTAAGATATTGTTCTGAGTAATAGCTTCAGTTTTTTGATGAGAAACCATGGGTATATCACTTGATGATTGGCCGGAGATAGGAGAAGAAGGAGTAACAATATCATTAGCACTGTCTGATGGCTCGGTAGCTTCTCCAGTATTAGGATTGTCGTCATTATTGTCACTATCATCATCATCATCATCATCATCATCATCATCACTAGAGTCTAAAACCGGTCGTTCGATATTCCACCGCAAAACACCACTGAATTGATAAATATTGGGATGAGGAGGTTCACATTCCAAATAAAATCTAGCACGTTCACAATCATGTACTGTTCCAATATCCTTTGTTGCCGTCAAGCCTTGACGTATCTTGAGATTCGTTTCACCATCGAGGTTTTGAGTTTCAATACAACAAATACTATCCTTTTCCGATGAAGATAATACTACCATATCTGCAGGGACATCATCATCATTGCGTAACATGACATAATCACCTACTTTGACATCTTGCCATTGTATCACTTGCCACCATGATTTGCAATTGGGAGCTGGAGGATCACCTGGAAGCATATCAGCACATTTTATATCACCAGCCATTGTATTCACAGTTGAAGATGGAGGTCGTGCGACTTGATTTGGATATCCAGACATAGGACTAGGATTCCGATAGAGTACTGAATGAGGAATAGTGCCTGGTCGGTAAAACTTTTTCGATTTTCTTCGTTGTTGAGAAATAGAATCATCGTTGTTAGTGTGTTTGAAGATATTGGATATTTCGGATCTCAGAGTATCAGAACGTTGTCGTACAGTATTCAAGATTTTTTTGGAAGCCAAAGGAAGTTTCTTTTGTTGTATTGAAGGAGGAGGATCCAAATATTGTGGATAATCAGAAGGGACAGGTTGACCACCTTCTTGAGTTGCTAAAGAGGAAGGACGTCGAATAAAAGTATGTGATGGATGTAAACTATTGTTGTCATTATCATTATCAATATCAGCTTTGACGATCGGAGAATCTTTGATGGTGGACATACGATAAACATGAGAATAACGATTTTCCGCCCCAGCCAACATGGAGAAGAAGCCTAAAAACACATGCCAATGATATAAAACATCTTGAGGTTCAGGAGGCACATTGACATTTGTCCAATGAGATAAAACAAGAGCTTTGGCACCATTCACCTTTTGATCAGACATGTTTCGTTTGAAATCTTCGACAGCATCCTTGATCCCAGTGATCAATAAAATTGCGAGAAGAGGCATGGCAGATACAGCAGGTTCTGTCACACCAAAAAGAGGAATACATTGCAAGACCACCAAAAATAAGAAATAAAGATTTGCCACGTTCCGGAATTGTTCAAAAAGATTCTTTGGTACAAAAGTGAGAGGTGTATATTTGGCAGTACGTATACGATTGGTAGAAAAGAATTGAATTGAGTCTTCCAAGTCTTGATGCGGTACCATGTTGACAAAGATCTTTCGGCTTTGCTTCATATATGAGCTTTGAGAAGCTGTTCTTTGTAATTGTCGTTGTTCTTCATCTTCTTCGAGTTTTTCTTGAGCTTTGGTGGAGAAGAGAGCTTTCAGTTTCAAACCCTTGCTCATCATAATCACACCCTATATGTTAAAAAAAAATAACAGTTTTAATATTTTATAACATTGATATACATCATCGTTTTTTTTTTATTATTTTTTCTATTTACCAAAAAGTATTTATTTCAAAATGTATTTGGGATTGTGTTAAACAAAGGTTAACACCATATATGTATTATAAGAAAAGATAAAAAGAGGGGATAAAAAATATAAAACAAAAAAAAAAAGTTATGCCATTTTTTTATTGTGAGCATGAAAAAAGAAAAAAAAACTTCCACCGGTGTTTGAATATGTCAAAAAAGTATATAAAGTTTCACTTTTTATTTCAATGAGGGTAAAGACAAAAAAAAAAAAGAGAGAGATATACTTAAACTATTCAAATCAAATCTATTGTTTTCCGCCAATACGAAGAGCTGATCGGAAAGGAGCTGCCATCAATAAAGAAGACTTGGTTTTGTTATTTTTATAATTCACTTGACAAGATTTGGAATTGGCCATCACACCAGTAATAAGAGGCGTTTTGCTAGGATTTCGGAGAAGAGTAGTGGCAACAGAGGCAAAACCACGAACCACTCGGAGATTGTGACAAGTAGACGCTTCTTTTCTTCGACGTTGACGTTGATCTGCCATTTGATGTTCCAGACATGCTTTGCATCGTTGAATAATTTTATCATGTGAGAATCCACGGAGTCTCATAAATGCATAATAAGGGTAATGTTCTAATAAGATCTTCCTTTCCAAATTCTTTAAATCATCCTCTTCGGTTGTTGAATCCTTTTCAGTTGTTGAATCATTGTCGAAAGTTGAATCCATTTTCTTTTCCACAATATGAGTTGAAACGATTTTGTTGTGATCGTGATTATCGTTCGGATCATCATCACCATATTGAATCTTTGTTGTATTCGATGAGGCCGCTAAGATCCAATCATCAGGATGCATGATATCCAATACTTCGTTCTTTGGTTTCGTTGCATTGGAAGGGAATATTTTCGCTAGATAGGCCATATAGTGTAAAGTAAAAGTATGTCGAATGACTATGGATGCTAGAGCTGGTGCCATTAAAGGACATGTTGTCATCAATTCCTTGTGATCTTCGAAATTGTTTGAAGATGGTGGATTTGCCAATTTATCACCAAGAACACGCGAGAGATCAAAGTCGGGTATCATTGTATAAGACAGGTAAGTGTTGTTGTTTGTATGATTGAAAAGATTGAAGTCCAGTACTGATTCCATAAAGTCAGGAGGTGAACTAGTATCTGAGTTAGGAGGTGATACCATTGGTAATTGAGTTTGTTGATACTGAGATGGCTGTGATTGTACTTGAGTAGTTGTTGTTGTTGTTGCTGTTGATGGTTGTTGCTGTTGTTGTTGTTGTTGCTGTTGTTGTTGTTGTTGCTGTTGTTGTTGTTGTTGTTGTTGCTGTTGTTGTTGTTGTTGTAAGCGTAATTGCATCACTTCTTGTAATAATTGTTGATTAAGATCATTACACCGTTTGAGATCAAGTTTCAACTGATCAATTTCATCCTCTTGTTCATCCACCTTGTTTTCCAATTGATTGATGTATTCTACAAATAAAAAGTAAGTAACCCATGTATTTCTATATATATATAATATGTATTACATACCTTTTCGTCGTACACGGAAATTCCTAGCAGATATTTTGTTCCGCAGTTGTCGTCGTTCCTTTGAAGTCATGTGTTGTTTATTATCTAAAGTATTCTCGTTGATATCCATATCTTCATCGTCTTCAAAATGGGAAGATGGTGAAGAAGAATCATTTTGTTGTTGTTGTTGTTGTTGTTGTTCATCAATGGAAGGCAGATTGGGTGGTGTTGTTGTATGATTGGATTTCTTGTTTTTCTTCTTGTAGGCATTTTGTGGTGATTCAGTAACAAAGATTGGTTCCCTTTTCTTTTTGATTCTCATTTTCCTTGAAGTTGCGCTTGATTTTTGAGTGGATGTTGATTTTGGAGCTGAAGTTGTTGTAAAAACAGTTGTGAAAGAATTCGACTTTACATTATTTGAAGGATCCACACTTGTAAGCCAATTATTTTCAAATGTTTGTGCTGTTGTTTGAGTATTGTTGGTATTATCGCTTGTTGAAGCCGAAATAGATATTGACTTGGGGCTACCTCCATTATTACTACTATCACTACTATTACTATTACTGTTACTACTACTAGTAAGGCTTGAAGGAGATGTTGTTGATAGAAGTGAAGAATCCAAAGGTGTAGAAAACTGAACAGAATCGAAAAGGTATTGTACTACATCTTGATCACCATTGTTTTGGGTTAGAGTGTTTGATTCCAAACCGATAGATTGTAATATATCAATATTTTCGTTTATTTCAGATAAAGGAAGTTGATCAAGCCAATTGAAATCGATAGGATTCATAATAATATAAAGAAGGTAACAAAGAAGAAACGAAAAAAGGAGTTGGGACAAACGAGATAAAAAAAAAAAAGGTTTATTTCATAATCCGCTAACAACTGAATCAAATTGGGAAAAATGAAGACGTAAACGGTATCCAAATAAGGGAAATGCTAAACCATTCAGGCATCGGCAAATGATTCTTGACGAATAATACTGCATTGACTAGAAAAATAAATAAAAAAAAAAAAAAAAAAAAAAAAAAGAGATTAGTTGATTGTTTGACTTGGGAATTTCTTTTTCTTTTCTGTCTTACTTTTCATCTTTGGATATACGATAATAATTTTCAGCTACTTCAGCTCTTGATAAATATTCAACAAAATCTTCATCATGAGTAATCACAATTAGTTGGAAATTAGATTGAGCCTTTCGAGATTGAATGATTCTATAAACAATAAAATAAATAAGAAGTCAGTGTAACATATTTGGGAGGAGTCCTTACTTTGCCAAATTATCAGCCAGACTTTCAATGTTAGCACGGTCCAGATTCGTGGTAGGTTCATCCAAAGCCAATACACCGCAATGAATACAAAATGTTTCTGCAAGAGCCAATCGGATAATAATAGATGTAAGCACTTTTTGTCCAGCACTACAACGACCTCGGATATTCATTTCTTTTCCGTCTTTCACCATCACCACCTAATTAGATATACATATGAAAAAAAAAAAGTTGAATTTATTCCTCTTGTGAGTATTTTTTTTTGGAGATTTACCCGATAATTGTAAGATCGATTGGCAGCAGTTGTTCCTTCAGCATCAGACCGGATTTCAATATAATCGATATCTAACACCCCCCAAAAAAAAAAGACGAGGAATATCAGACTCCATATATCATATATGAATGATTATATTTCTTACCTCCACCGCGATATGTACTCATCCATAATTCCTTGATAATTTTATTCAAATCTTCCATTTTCAAAGAGTGGTAACGCATAATAGCCCTATATACATATATTAAAAAGAGATTCAATGAATACAACGTATAAAAGAAGGATGGTTCCACTTACTGTTGTAATGCCTTGGTATATTTCTCCAAATCATTCACAGCAATTTCGTTTGTTTTAACCTGTACAAACTGTTTGTTGTACCGTTCCTGTACATGTAGGTAATCAGTGTCGAGATCATGTTGATATCTCTGCAGTTGATCACGCATTTGTCGTATTTCCCCTTGTAATCCTCCTCGTGTGCTGATATATTGTGATTGCTTGTCTTTCAAAAGGTCGAGTTTTTGTTCATATGTTGCTTTTCGGAATTGTTGACTTTGTCGTTGGTATTCTTCTAATTCTTTGATGCAAGTTTCTAGCTGTCGTTTGATACTTCGATATCGCAGATGATCTTTCAATTGTCGTTCAATGCCTTGTTGGTCTGCCATTTCTTTATCCATAACTCGAACTTGAGCATCTTTTCCTTCTAAATCTTCAGTCAGTACTTGAATTCGTTTGTCTAGTTGAATCTTTTCATTCGTTAAGTCTTTCAAACGTGAGGCATTATTACTATTATTGTATCTTTAGAAGCAAAACAATCAAACGAAAAAGAAAAAAAAATAGTTAGTTTATATGTTCACACAATCACGACTTATCCATTCATTTACCTTTCAATCTTGATAGTGAGGGTATCTAACAAATCCATACGTTGTTTTCCTTGGTTAACTGAGCGATGAGCATGATCATACTTTGTTTTCCATTCATCTCGGCATTTTTCAAAAGAGGCGGTTGTATCATCAATCTTGGTATCCAAAATGTTCTTCCTAGAATCGTAATCCTAATGAGATCATATATGAAAAAAAAATTAAAATATTGATAAAAATATAATATACTCCCTTCCCTTAAATTCCTTTTTTTTTTTTTTTACCTTCATGATAGTCTTATTGGTATTCAGAGATCTTCGAGCAGCTGATAATCTTTCTTCAATACTTGTCTTGGCATCCATACGATGCTGAAGTTGTGTTAAACTGTCTCTTGCATCCCGAACATTATTTTCCAGTCGCTGTAGAGTTTTCATTGAAATTTCACGGTCATCATGGAGTCGCTTAATTTCCTTTCGTACAGTTTTACTAATTGCATATACATAAAAACAGAGAGAATTGAATATTTGAAGGCAAATTAATCAGTATACTACTTTTTTTTTCCTTCTTCTACCTTTGATCCGCCAAATCTTCTAATTCTCGTTGACAATCAGTAATGGTGCGTGTTGAACCTGTATCTCTAATGTCGGCTTCCAAGCGGCTGATATCCTTATCCAACTGTTTTGATTCACGATATTGTCGAACAGCATCTTCAGAGAGTTTAAAAATACGTTCCAGCTTTTTTCTATCCTCTAAGGCTTGTACCATTTCTGCTTGCAACTATAAGTAAATATGAATAAAAAGTAAGTGATTGACTAGTTGAATGGTGGCGCTTATATACCTTGACCATTTTATTCGTAGCCTCATCTTGCTTCTTTTCCTGTTCCAAAGCCGTTTTTTCCAATTCAGCCAAATCCTTGTTACGTAGAGTATCCATCCTAATCCAAGAACTTTCCAAAGACCGGATATGTTGTTGCTTTTGTTCCAATTCTTGCACCCTTTGAGAATAATCTGTTTGCTGGTTTGGAATTCTATCTACAGTAGTTTGAAGCTTATAGAAAAAGATGTGTTAAATAATGCATATAATACTATATAATCACTTTCTTTTCAAACTCACCTTTTCAATGAATCGGGCAAGTTCATTATCTTGAGCAAATTGACGAGTACATAATGGACAATGATGATTGGTTTCTGCTTTTTTGACAAATCTTGAGTATAAAAGTTCAGCGGCACCTAGACTTGATATTTTGCTTCGTAGATCCATAATGTCATCTTCTACCTTTTTCAGTTCATCAGGCAAGGAAGTATCAGGACATACAGCGTCAATGGCAGTTTTTAGGGAGTCAATTTCAGTTTTCTTGTCCTTGATGGAATTTCGAGTGATGGAATAGAGAGTTTCCACGGAAGAGAGATCACGATTGGCTTGATCACATCGATTCTGAATAGCAGAGATTTCCAAAATTTGCTTTTCCAATAGAGATTTTAGATCCTGATCCAATCGTTCCAATGTTGGTTCAGTTTCCATTCTTTGTACAACCTCATCCTTGCATTGTTCAAATATGCTGCGAGCGGCGGCTAACTTTGCATCTCGATCGGTTTGCTTCAATGCCAGACGCGCATGTGTATCACCTTGTAAGCTGAGTTTTGACATTTCATCGTTGAGGTTAGTGATTTGATCATCAAGGTCCCGTAACTGTCGTTCTTTACTGGAGAGCAGACTATCTGTGTTTCTGTTACTCATATAAGCCTTGTGTGATGCTAAACGATCCTCTTCTTTCACCAATCGGTCCTTTTCCACATCAAAGTCCACATGAGTAGCACGCATAGTTTCCAGTTGATTGGTCAATGACCGAATGATGTCATTATCTTTATCCAGTTCATGTTGAGTATGTTTTTTTGCTTGATCTAACCCATATCGTTCTGATTTGAGAGTTTGAAGTTCATCCGATAAAGTGTTTTGTTCAGTCTGGCCTTGAGTCTATATACACACAGAAGAAAAAGAAGAAGAAAAAAAAAAACAAGTTAAAACAAAAATTGAAAGAGAAAAAATATGTAATACTATAATACTTACATTCAGCTGTTGAAGTTCCTTGTCCATTTTTGATATAGTCTGTCGAATAATTTTTGTTGCTTCCAAGGAATCCGTTTGTGATGTATAGTCAAGATTGAACTCATGATAAATATCACGAATCAATCTGCTGCGTTCTTCCATACATTGGCCATGAATCTAATCAGGAGAAGAAGAAAACAAGGATTAGTCACTATACATACAATGATTCATACTTACATCAGATTCAGCTTGTAATCGTCCTATTTCAGTAAGTTTGGAAGATACTTTGTCACGAGCCATTTGCAATTGTTTTTCCAGTCGATTTCTTTCAGATTCCAATTTGTTGCGTGCATCTTCACTAGAGGTAGTTTTATTGGATTGAGCTTGTAATAAAGAGCTAAGTTCTTCATCGGTTTCACTTCTTTCTGTCAGATCTTTTTCTAATTCTTGAAGGTTGGCGATATATAGATCCCGTTGTTGTTTAATTTGAGAGATTTTGTTGGTCAGAGTTTGACTTTGTTGATGGACTTCCAAAAGACGTTCAATTTCGATAGAAGTATTGTGTATTTGTTGATCCAAATGTTCAATTTTTGATTGTTTATCCTGACATTCTTTTTCCATATTATTGACATCTGATTGTAATCGTTGTGCTTTTAAAGTATCGTTTTTTAATCCTTCTAGTCGTACTTGATCTGTTCGTGCATCTTGAGCGCGTTCCTTTCGAATATCTTTAATACTGTCGAGTGCTTTTGTATATTTGGTAGATGCAAATATATCATCAAATTTCTTTTTTAATACTGATGGTTCCGATAATGGCCTATAATTAACATAAATATATATATATATATATATATATTTAGTTTGATTCATTGGATCTATATTTTTTATTATTATTATTACCAGTTGCTTTCTTCTTGATGACAAAAGATAACATTTTCCAATATAGCTTTTGGTACTCCAAGATGAATAGGTAATAAAGCATCCATATCGGCACATCGAGAACTAATGCTAAAGGTCTAGACCCACAAGACACACACACAAAAAAAAAAAAAAAAGGAGTTGAGAATACCATTCTAAAGATAATAATAATAATTCATTACTTCTCCAGAAACAGGGTTATATCGTTGTAAAGAACTATCCAAAGTCTTTTGAGTTGTTTTTGTCTTGGTTTGAGTAAGTGACATGGATCGACTACAAAGAATACGTTGACCATCAATATCAATGAATTTTAATCTAATTTGAGCTTTGACTTCTTTGACGCCTGCGATCTATAAAAAAAATAAGTAATAAAGCGAGGTTAAGCCGAAAGAATATTATACACGTGTATACTCTACCTTTGTATCATGAATAAAGGCACCACCTTTACTATTTGGAGGTTGATCACCAGTACAAGCATATTTGAGACATTCTATAATAGTCTAAAATATATAGAAAAACACGTTAAAAATCATTTAGATATTTTTTTTATATATTTTGTTTTGATACTTTACAGTTTTCCCAGTACCATTGGCACCAACAATGAGAGTAAATGGAGAAAGAAACTTGATATACTGAGGTTCTTCATGACTAAAAGAACGAATTCCCAGTATTCCTAGTTTATCAATTTGTGACATATAAAATAAAAAAAAAAAGAAAGAAGCTTCGAAGGAAAGAAGTAAAAAAAAAAAAAAGTGCAAGGCGGGAACCCACTTTTTTGTTATAGTCGTTGTTTTAAAAAAGGAAAATGGTGTAACAACAATGGTTTTTTTGTTTATTGCAATATGAAGAGAGATAGAGAGAGAGAAAGAATATTTTAAACAAGAAAATCATCAACATATTTCTTAATATTATTTTAAGGATGGCAAATTGGAGACTTTGTTTCAGTAGCATACGCACAGCCTACTCGAGCATTATATCTTTTAACCATTTCAGAAGGAGAACCCTGAAGATCTTGATTAACAATTGGATATGAGTTGACAATACCAATAATGACTACCAAGTAACATAAGACAAGTAATTTGAACATGGAAATATTATATATATGGGGAAAAAAAAGTAAAGAAAAGTAAAGAAAAGTAAAGAAAAGTAAAGAAAAGAAAAAAAAGAAAATAAAAGAAATAAAGAATCATCCATATTTATATTATGTTGCTCGGGTATGGGATGCAGGTCGTGATCAAATATTACCTTTCCCCTAAATTACATTAGATCTAAAACCTCCTGAATTTTTCATTATAAGGAAATAAGCACGGCTTTCTTAAAACAGACTGATCCTATTGATATCTTAATCAAACCTGACAACATTTCTATCTATATATTGACTACCTTTTTTTATTATTATTTTTGATAAATAAATAATATATATAATTTCTAACTACGAGGAATAGAGGGTATAAGGGAATTACCATATTTTGAAGGTATATTAATATAATATCCATAAGAAATTGATTGTGCTTGATCTCTTGCTACTTTCATTTGTTGTCGAGTATTATATTCATCTGATTGATTCTTTTCTGTTGGCACCAAAGGTGGATTTCCTTTCTTGTTTCGTCTATATATATTAAATAACAAATAGTAAGTATATCAATTATATATATATATATATATATATATATATATATATTGAGTATTTTTTTTATTATTATTATTTTTACGTTGAATGTGATAAAACTGGTGACCTGTTAAACTTGCCTCTAGTCGTTGATATCATGTTTTCTTTTATGAAATAATAATATATAATAGGAGGGAAAAAAAAGAGAAAAGGAGAACAAAGGGAAAAAAAAAAAAAAGCACTCACAATTTAAAATGCCGCACGAGATCGGCCAATGAGTCGAAAGGAACATCCCATAAGCGAAACGTCTTGGTCATCCCCCCCGATTTTGTTCTTCCTCTGAATAATCCAATATGGTAAGGAATCGTATACTACAAAAAGGCAAAAAAAAAATAGTGATTATCAATAGGAAAGAGACGAAATAAAGATAAACGATCAATACATATATATATGAATGGATGGATGGATGGATGGATAGATGGATGGATGAATGAATTAAAACGACTCAAACAACAAAACATGAAATTCCCAGCAGGAAATAAAGAACATCCTATCGACTCAACCTTCTTTTTTTTTTTAATGGACAATTCATTAGGCTAAGAAGGACGTTGCTGCTAAGCCTAGCTCCTCTTCTGGAGGAAAGAAAGCCAAGAAGAAGTGGTCTGCCAAGAAGGTGAAGGATAAGGCTAACAATATGGTTGTTTTGGACAAACCCACTTACGAACGTTTGTTTAAGGAAGTACCTACCTACAAGCTCATCAGTCAATCTGTTTTAGTTGATCGTCTCAAGTTAAATGGTTCTCTTGCTCGTGTCGCTCTCAAGGAACTCACTGCTCAAGGACTTATCAAGCCTCTTACCATTCACCATGCTCAAGTTATCTACAGTAAGATACAAAAAAAAAAAATCAAATATATTACATGATATCTAATCTATTATCTTTTTTTTTTATTTATTTATTTCTGTATAGCTCGTGTTACTGGTGATGAAGACAAGAAGAAGGTTGCTGATGAAGAATAAACTAGTTTTACAATTGTACAAATCATGATATATTCAAATAAAAGACTTGATTGATAGGTTTTTATTTTAAGTTTACTCGATTTTTATCCATCTTTATTTTTATCTTATTAAATATTATCATTTTTCTTTGAACATTTAACCCTATGCTATGTCCTACTTATCCATCGTCAATACTTCTATCAAATGATGATGATGGGTGATGATATATATCTACAATAATCATGATTCTACTACGATGATGATTTATTTTGATCATATATTCCACGTACAAGAGACTTCATAAGTTATTTTCATTTTCATTATAATATTAAAGATGTTTGTGCAATTGGCAAAGCGTCAAACTGAAAAAAAAAGTAGTAGTTCGATAACTATAAACCAAAGCACGCATCACACAGCTATAAAAGCTGGGATACTGTTTTTTCGCGGGAATGATTAGCGCAGAATGACCTATTGTGGAAGATTCGTACATTCAACGACTCTAAGATCATGTCCCTTCAAGAGAAAAAACAGAAAAGAGAAAAGGAAAACAAAAAAATAATAAAGAACAAAAATTTATACGCGACAGCGGAGTCTTCAAACTGACTGTTGGTTTTACTACTTTTCCTTTTTTTTTTTTTTTTTTTTTTTTTCTTTTTTTTTTTTGCTCTGACGACTCTTTCTTGTGTTCACCTTTTACTAAAACTCCGTACTCAAAAGTATCGCAAAAAAAGAAATTTTAAGGTATTAATTCGTGAAGTTCTTCAAAGTCCCCTCTTTTTAGTTTATTCATCATCTTTTTTTAGCCACTTTTTTTCCATAACTTCACTGATCTCTTTGTAGCTCGCTCAAAAGTGATCATCATCGTACCAAATTTGAATCGAACAAAGATAACAACATTCTCTTTCATTTATCTTAATAACAATTTACACCTTACCTCTCAATTTATAGAATAAATTAAAAAATAAAATTCAATATCGTCATCCTTCATCCAATAATGATCATCATCCCATAAAATGACCACCATTGGATTCCTCTTAAAAAAGTAGTTTAATATCATCTAATACCATTTCATCACTTATCTTTCCAGCTAATGTGCAATAAAACACTAAAATATTTCATCGATTTTTCCAAAAGTTGCCTGATGACTCCTCGACGATTTAGTTTTACAGCTAAAATTTGGCTGAGGAGTTTGAAAATTTTGGCTGTAAAATCCAAAAACTGATCCAATTTTTTTTTTTCCATCCTGCAACACTTTCCAGTTCCTTTTCATTTTCCTTTTCTTTTCTTTCTTTTCCTCCCCATTGACATTGATTTCGATTTCTCGACTAATGACGTCAACAGCGTCTAATGGAGAAAACATTCACTATGGATAACCACCGTTATCACCTTCACAATACGAAACCATTCAACATTCATCTCAAAAGCCATTCTATGAGTCGATGAAATCTCACCTATCATATAGTTACCACAATATCAAAAGGGACGATCTATTCATGTCTGTACGAAACCCTCAGTATGTATAGAAAATAGCTATATACGTATTCTTTTTACTTATTGTTATTATAATTTTTCTGTTTATTTGTTATGGAGGAATGGAAAATGATGAAAAAATGAACGAGCTGGATAAGTATTATTCTAACTAACTTTTACTAATATGGATATTACATCGACCACCAATGCTAGGCGTCTTGTTATAATTGTGCTTATTAGATCAACATTATCTGTCATGCCCGCTCTTATTGCAGATTTACTGGAAACCAAAAAAAAAAAAAAAAAAAAAAAAAAATGTAAGTATATCTATTTGGACTTCCAGCAGACTACGGTATATTGATCATCATTCTTTTATTCTCATTGGTAGAAGGAATAGGATTTGTAGGAAAGGAAACTTCTCCCTTTATTCTTTTTATCGATTCTTTTACTCCTGAACAATTTAATGATATATTAGATGGTTTTCTGGATAGGGTAATTGACCAAAACAGAGATATTGACTTTTATAGATAGAAATTAATTGACAAGTTTATCTCCTTATTTGGGAGCTTTTTTATAGTCTCTGAAATCATCTCTGTGTGGTCTTTTTAGTTGTCAATAAATCTCTCACCGAAGATCTCAAGATGATGGAAACAAATTCAATTTCGGGTCATCGAATAGTTTCTTCAAGGATCGACATTGGAAAAAAAAAAAAAAAAAAAAACATATACTATATATAGGCAATGAAATGAATTTTATTTTACTAATATTGACTCTTTTTTTTTATATATATACTATAGAACAACGATACACTGAGAAGAGCCGTAAGTATAGAAAGACTAACAAATCGGATGGTTTGAATTTATTTTTAATTGATGATCATTATGTTTACAAATCCTAACGAACACGACATCCAGGTAATATTGAAAAAAAAAAAGAGATTTCTACAAAGCGATAACCATTTTGCCTTTTTCCTAGTTGAAAAAATCCAATGTCAATTATAGTTTATATGTTATACCAATAAAGTCATAGTTTATTATTATGTTTTATGATCGACCCCTTAGAAAAAATGAAAAACATTAAGTACCTCATTTTGTCTTCATATCTTGGCCCAATCAAACTCATTATCTGTCTAAAAAAAGTTCCACATAGTAAATTATTTAAAAATAAAGAGACGTTTATTTTTTATCATCATCATCATAAAAAAAAAAATATAAATATATATATACAAGGTCTATTACCAAGCTAAACTAAGAAGAGACAAAATCATCCAACAAGGCAATGGCAGCGCCCAAACACCAACCAGTTTCCACACCATCGATTTTCTTGGCCACATTGATGACACGATGATCAGGGATTTCATAGCCAAATGACAAAAGACGATAGATATAAGTCAAATCTAAACACCATTCAGGTCGATCCAACAATTCACCACGTAGATCATCATCAGTGATAGATTGCAAATAAGCGCCAGAGCATACCTTTTCTGTCAATGCCGCCAGTTCGGGAAGTTTGAATTGAGCAGGTAAACCAAGAGGTTGAGTTCGATCAAAAAAGTAAGAGAAAACATAGATAGGACCTTGTGTGAATGAATCACTGATAGTAGGTTGATGGACACCATTGAAAGAGCAAGGTGCTGTTTCGCACATTGCATTTTTATCCAGTACATGATCAATCACTGCCCTACATTCTTCTGGTATAGCAGCCCCTGTAAATGATTGTTGATCGCCACCAAGTTGATACGCCCATGCTAAGCCAGCAGGAAGACAAGGATGTTTAAGATCAATCGCCTGTCCATCCAATGATGAGAATACATGTTGATGCACCAATTTCCTTGCTTCCATCAAACCATAGCCCAAATAAGAGTGTTGATAAAGTATATGATGATGACCATCATGTTGGAGTTCGTATTTGTGATCAAGTGCTGGTAAGTTGTCTAATGATTCTCTATTCCATTTTTCCGGTTCAAATACAATTTGTGTTGACCCACCACCAAGATCAAAGATAGCTGCTGTATTATTGGTACCCAAACGTCCAAGTAAAGAATTGACAGTGATCCATGCGTACACACCTTCATCTCGGCCTTCCATAATGGTCACACCTTCCTTTCGTCCACCCACAATCACAAATGGATACTTGGTTACCAAACGTTCATATACCGCATCTAGAATAGCTTCACTTTGTTCATTGCCCAAGAAACGTAAACCTGCTGTTGCCTTGACAGAGATAGGAGTGGTTTTATGTTGTGCTGGTGGGACATGAGTCATGGCAGCATCCAAGAGTGAGTCTAGAGATTGAGCCGCTTCAACAGGAGAATAGGCAGAGAGTCCAGGGATAGTTTGTTTGAAGAGAATTTCATCATGGAACTTTAAAGGTTCAGTGCTTCCTTGACATTGGTGGAATTGATAAACATGAATACGGGAACCAGTGGAACCAGCGTCTATCATCAATGCATATCTAAAACAATCGTCTAAAAAGAGTTTTTTTTTTTTTTTTGAGGTGTAAGATAAAGAAGATATATATATTATTATTATTATTATTATTATTATATCTTTTTATATAACTTACCAGAATGACTATTGAGTAAAGTTTCAATTACTGATAACCAAGATTGTTCAGGGACAAAGACTGCTACCATGGCAAAGAGAATACCAATAACGGCCAATACGATACGACCCCAAGGATTGACAGGTTTAGTTGTTTTTGCTGATTGACGTAACATGGTATATGGACTGGGAGGTAGTTTCTTGTTCTTCATTTAAGAAGGATACCAACTAATACTAACAAATGGGTATTCGTCCTTAAAAAAAAAAGTTAATTCAACAGAAAAGAAAAGAGTAAAAAAGAAAGAAAAAAAAAAAAAAAGAAAGAAAAAAAAAAGAAAGAAAGAAAAAAAATCTTTGATAATTACCAGGAGCGGAGAGGCCAGGGGAAGATGAAATGAAACCATTGGATAGGGTTTGAGCGACCGATAGTTAGAAACGGATGAAATCAAAAAACAATGGGAAAAGCAAACAAATCTAAAAAAGGTGTCAAAAGATGTATATAATATATATATATATATTTCAACAATATTCCCGTTGAAAACTGGACTAAAAGATAAAAAAGCAATTATTTTTTTTAAAAAAAAAATCATCATCTTGATTTTAACTTCTTTTTTTTTTTTATCTTTAATTAACAATGAACTTTATTCGCTTACCAAGCTTAAAGTTAAATCATCATCCATCTGATAATCATCATTCTCACAATGCCGTTGATTCATCATCGGTTAAAATGAACAGTCTCTTTTTACCACCAACTTGGAAACAGGAATCTCATCATTATCAACAAGAAGATTTAGGTTTGAAATTACATCCTTCTTCACAAAGTTATGCACAAGAGATGTTTTCGTTCTCCGCGGGAAGCACCATCCCACCTCCTCATGCCAACAATATACGATCATCATCCACTATTAAACGACGTAGACGACCTCCACATTCATATGCATCCATGATTGCACAAGCTATCATGACGTCTAAAGAACAAAAGATGACCTTACGAGATATTTATGCATGGGTGCAGCAACGGTATCCTCATCTATATGAGACAAACACAAGTGGATGTCAAAACGTGATCCGGCATAATCTTTCCTTGAATCGTTGTTTTTATAAACTGCCTAAATCTAATGGGAGAGGTAAAGGAAAAGGTGGTTACTGGGCCGTATCTCCCGAGCAATTGCACCATACCACGTTTGGTCGACATTTATTAGATACGGGAGGTATATCGGCCGCTGGTTTCGAATATTGGCCTCAATCATCAGTGGATCAGAAGACACAACATCAAGCGAGTGAAGAAGAACAAGAGGAAGAGGAAGAAGAGGAAGAGGAAGAAGAAGGTTCCCAAATGGATGAAGACAATGAGGGATTCATTCCACGTATTCATCCGTCCTCTATCTCTTATAAAAATAACATCACTAATTTGCTTCAACCTGCAGATCTCGCTACTTTACAAAATCATCAACTTCATCTACAACAACGTCGATCTGTTCCTCCTCCACCAGCTCTGACTATCCCTTTTGAACAAGATCATCATCATCATCATCAGAGTCCTATTGCTGAACTAGATAATCCTACATTTCATCCACCATCACTTCATCATATTCTGAACTAAACAAAGACAATAATAATAAAAATGAGAATAAGATAGTGCTTGATTTCCTTTTTTTTTTTTATTATTTTATTTTATTTTATTTCAAATGTGTATGAGAGAAATAATATAATAAAAGGTAAAATATCTGCGTTTCTATGTACATTGTAAAGTAAGAGGGGATAATAATAATAAAAAAAATAAAAAAATAAAAAAAAATCTAATCAAATGATGCAGTGATACCAAAAAGTGGGGACAATCTATTTTCTTTTCTTTTCTCGTTCCAACCTATTCTTTTCAGCTTGATCGCCTTCCAAGATCGTCATGACACCCTTGATCATCTTGTTGTAGTCTTCATCCTTTTGTTTCTTGATCTTTGCCTTTTCACGAGCCATAAACATATTGTCCTTTCGTAACTCACGCATGGCACCCTTCTTTTCCTTCTTGAGTTGTGCTTCCAATTTGGCGGTGGCAGCTCGTTCATGATCAGGATCATAATGACGATCCATTGAGTATCCTTTTTCAAACTTGGGTAAATGTTGTGCAATTGGTACTGGACGATGTTGTTGCATTCGTAAAGGTGTCTTGAGTCGTTTTTCAATACAGAATTTGATTTGTCGTTCCAATCGATCTTGTAAGTGATCCATCAAGGTCTATACAAGTAAAAAAAAAAAAAAAAAAAAAAAAAAAAAAAAAAAAAAAAAAAAAAAAGGTAAGTTGATGTGATCCCAAATACATATATATATATATGTATCTTACCTTCAGATCCTTATGCCAAGTCAATGATTGAAGTTGTTGAATTAAAGAAAGAGAAGAATCAAAGACTTCTACCAAAGCAGGTGTTGATGCATATAATTGAAGATAACGTTCCAATAAACGTAAAGATGCTTGAACAAGAGAGAGCCGTACGGTATTTTTCTTGTCGAATCCATCTTCATCCACCAGTTGATCTAAAGAAATTGATTTAAGAGATTCTAACCCTTTACCTTGTGTATCCTTGATTTTCAATTTGGTTGTCTCTTCAGTCATTGGGAATATGCCAGGTATTTGTTCATCAGTGAAAGCATTTGATGGGGTCAAAATGGCCAATACACGGTGTAAAAAGTTGAGACATTCTGGTACCAATCTTTTTGAAATTGCTTGATACTAATGAAATAAATCAAAAAAGATAATGCGTTAATACCCTTTCTTTTTCTTTTTTTTTTTTTTTTTGTCTCTCTTTTGGTTGTCTTGTTTTTTTTTTTTTTTTTTTTTTTTTTTTTTTTTTTTTTTGGCTGTATACGTACCTCCAAGAATAACTGTGTCAAGAAAAGTCCACGACCAATATCAACTTCAGTACGCACAGGACATTGAGCTAAAGCTTGAGCCATAAAGAGAGAAGCAGGAGTAGCCACAGAATGATTCAAATCAGAAGTAGAGAAAACTTGACCTAGAGAGCGTAAAATAGTCAAATCTTCTACATCAGGCCAGCAAGATGACTTCAAACTGTTTCGCATTTTCTTCGCCATGTTGTTTTGCATTTGCTTAACCTTAGTAATATAGACTTCAGTAGCAGCTTCTGGTATTTGTTGTGCTATTTCAAAGATATGACCATTTAGGGCTTCCAGTAACTTTATAGGTAAGGGACTAACTGTTGATGCAATATAACCTAGATGTTCCACCAAGACATTGAAGAAGACTGACATCTTTTGTTTATTTTCGGGAGAGATTTTGATATGATACAAAACACGGATACGCTTGATTACAGTAAGAGTATCTTCCAATTTGAGACCATCCATGATTGCCAAAAAGTCGCTATGTGATTCGGGGCATTCAAATGTATATGGAATTTCGCCTGTTGTTTCGCCATTAGAAGTTTTGGACTTTTTGTTGCTTTTATTAGATTTTGTAACCACTTTTCCATGTTGTCCAATTTGATTCATGTCATCATCATCATCATCATCGCCAAAGTCTGGTATTTCATCCCCTTCCAAATCGTCCACTTCTGATTCATCATCATCATCTTCTTCTTCGTCGTCGTCATCTTCATCTTCTTCTTCATCTTCATCCCCAGATCCTTCATCGCCAGTTTCCATATCAGCTTCAAGATCATAGGCACCATTTTGAATATCATCCAAGGTAAGACCAGTACCAAGTTGTTCATGATCATCTTCAACATAATCATCCTCCAAATCATCAGCATCAGGACCACCTGTAGACTTACGTTGTTTCTTTGCTCCACGTCTATGTGAGAATCGATCACCTTCAGTTTCAGATTCAGAGTCCAATCCTTCCATACGTCGTTTTCTTGCACGTTCAGCCTTTTCCAACTTTTCCTTTTCTTCCAAAGCCAATTCTTCTTCTGTTTTAGTTCTATCAGTAGCTTGAGCTCGTCGATCAAATGCCAAGTCACGAAGAGCCTTGTCATAATCTTCATAATCATCGTCCTTTTCTACTTGATGATCCTTTTGTTCAGCAGCTTGCTCGGCTTTGATATTGTTTTCAATTTCTGTTTTGGCAAATAGCTGATTCTGCGATGGAAGAGGTTTGCGTTTGTCAGTATTCAAAAGAGCCCGGATATCTTTGAGTTCTTCATCCAATCCAGCACGAATATCATCATCTTCTTGTTTAGCCATTTGTCGTTCATACTATATATCAAAAAAAAAGAGAGAAAAGAATGAATTTCAATTATATACATAGTTTATTCGATGATATTTCTTACTTTGTGCATTTTGCTTTTAGCAATAAGTTCCTTCATGACTTCATTCTTGGATTTAGGTCGATCACTTCCATCATTTGTTTCTTGATCATCATCACCGAAACCACCGAAATGCATCTTGTTG